AAACAAACAAACAAAACAAACAAACCAAACAAACAAACAAACAAACAAGCTCAAGCTGGAAACATCTCCAAGCTTAAAAAAAGGAAAATAAAACAAAATAATATTTTTTTTTATTATTTTATCCTAAATAACTACTATGTCTAATCTAGTCATAAAACAATTTCAGATAACTGGAATGTTAACGTGGTGAAGCCAAATAAATGCAATACTGGCCTTCCATACAGTGAGCCTGTTGAACTGACCCTCTGCTGCTCTGCGCTCTCAGAGCACAAGTCGACATTAGCAAGATGGATTTATGACTGAACGAACATATTTTTATCATCTCTGTGGGTAACAATACACAAAAATCAAGTTTTTTCTCCGACAACTTGTGTGTGAAAAAAACTACGGTTGTTAAAGCTTTACTCTGCCCGATGTGCAGCGGGAGGGAAGAGGAAATAATCCCACGACTCGACGGCAAGATAGAACTTTTCTACAGCAGGAGGAGGAAATTTTGAGGATTTATTCTTTCTATACATGTTTTAAAACGCTGTATTTCTTAATTTGTTTTCAGAATATTTTGAATGAATGGTCCTAGGAAAAAATTAAAGAAATTGTTCACCTGCCTGGTCGGGCAGGCATTGGGACACACCCACCTGCCCGAATATGAGTTTTACCTGCCCCGGGCAGTCGGGCAATAGGATTTGTCAAACCCTGCTTTAAATATTCAATATTCTGTGACGACTTGGGAGTGTCAGGATCCAAAGAACTAGGAATGACTGGTATGAATTGCTATAAGTTTGAATGTATGCAGTCCCAATTTAGTGTTCATTTTCAATTTACTGGTTTTATACTTCACAAACATCCTGCATTACCTTTGAGTTCAAGATTTACCGGTAGTTTCTCACTGCCATACTATGTTAAATGTGACTCATCATATCAAAATGAGGATTAAGTCAAATTTGGTCAAAATTACCTAATTACATTTTCAAATAGGGCTGCCACAAACGATTATTTTAATAATAGATTAATCACCGATTATTTATTTGATTAGTCGACTAATCGGATCATACATTAATTGAATATAAAACATACAGCTTATCRCRCCAGAACACAGCTGCTATTATATAACCATGGTTAGATTTTAGCTATATGCTAACTAAAAATAACWGCWRTGGAAGGTAAGTTCTGCTCTGCAGATATTACACAGGTTTCTCTTTCATTTTCTTAAAATGATCCCACACTTTGAGCTCTGTTGTCAGGTAGCCATGATACCAGAGCC